AAAACAGAATTAGACTATTCGGTGAGATTCGACTGAAACCGTCGAGTAGAGTCACGTTATAGATATGAGAATGGGGAAAATGCGCCGGCGCATTAACACTAAACTTTTCTGTTATAGCGGGCCGCAAAAAATGTCTTGCGGGTCACAAATGGCCCGCGGGCCGCGAGTTTGAGACCCTTATATGAGATGTTTATTTATTAATATTCACGACTATCTCATTTTTTTAATAAAAAGAACGTAAATATTGATACTTTCCCCCATCATTTTCGATGTAAGCAGAATGTATGTGGTAACGAATTTCAAAATATCTAAATATTTCGGTTTTGGCCGAAAGTCATTTTTAACTTTCGGCCTATTTTCGGCTTCGACAGAAATCAGAAAATCACTTTCGGTCGGTCTCTATCTTCCCCCCCCCCCCCCCCCCAAAAAAAAAAAAAAAAAATCCTTTAAAGGCTTTTTCTTTTTCTCAATTACATCGTGTTCGTGACTTTACCAGTCACGAAGTCTTGATCGACTATTTTCGATGTAGGTCCTACCAGGAGACAGTACTTTGATCCGCCCTTCAAATTCAAATGGTTAAAAATATTACCCGTGCTGATGCCTTCAGGTGACATCTCAGTGACATTGTTGACAAGACCAAACTTATTTTCGCTTATCATCCTCACAATCTAATAGCCAAACGTGTTTTCCTTAGAAACCGAGGTCATAATTTGACCCAACCGGCACATTATGACAATCCAACCTTGGCTGATTGAGAAAGAATAATTATAGTTACGATACACTAATTGTCGAACCCAAGTATCCATCTTCTGCAATATCCGCAACATACACTGTCCAGGGATACACTTCATCGCCAATCAAAAAGTATATGTCCCTGACCTCATAAAGATTCAGTGCTGCAGTTGCTGTCTCAGCTGTGTGTAGATCCACTGGTGCAAGATGGTGAAGAATTTTTTGTCACTGCTTGTGTCGTGGAATTTTCTTTGAAATAACGGTCTGCGCCGCTCCTGTATCCAATAGAATTCCGCTCTGACATTAATAACATTTACAGGCACAAATACAGCACTAAGGCAAATGTTATGACCATTAGAAGAATTGCGATTTAGTTCTAGTTGTTGCCGTCCAGGAATTTCTCCTCCTAGCCTCCTGTTGGGACAATGACGGGCAATGTAGCCGATCCTATCACATACAATACACCTGGGCTCAACCCTTCTGCGATGCATGGGTTCACTAGGTTCACGTGTTGTCTGTGGCACTAGTGAACGATGGGCGTTAAGGAGACATTTCCTATCTGAAGTTATTGAGTTCTCAGTTCAGAGTGTCAAGATTAAATTTAACGTTGCCTGTCTGTTTTGTGGATGAACAAACGTTCACCTTAAAATTCATAATTTGGTCATGGACCATTCCGGTCCCGTCAACAGAGGGAGGATTTGCCAAAATCTCAATCTGCGTTTCTATGTACTGGTCGGGTAGTCCTCTTAACAGCTGCTTCAGGCCAATAACGTCACGTGTGCTTTTATTCGCTGCGCTGTAATGTCTGACGCGTAATAAACAGTACTTTCAATCTCCAGTGCATTATGATAAAATGATGTGGTTTGACGGTCTTTGAATCTGTCTGCGAGCCTCCCTGAAACATTCATAACTTTCTCTATATGACTTCACTAATTCTTCGTAGGCAAACTCTGCTGCGCCACCCTGCTTCAAAACTCCCAATTTCAGAATTTTCTTTTCTGGGCTCTATTTGGAAAGTTAAGCAATCACCTCAAATTTATCTATAAATGTTTGCCTTGCCTAAGTGAATGTCCATTGAATTTGAATGTTGGCAGGTGATAGGCCTATGTGGCATATCAGGTCCGAATGTAAACAATGAACACAGCTTCCTCTTCAGTGACGTTGCAAGGTTACCATTCCATCGCTGCCCCCATTGTAGAGAACCTTTACTGGTCTAATTTCTGCTCTCTATCTCTTTTGTTTGTATGATAAAATAACACTTGCTTCCAACTACATGTCACTCGTATTGCACATAGTGGAACAGACAACTCGTCGATAGTTACAGCCTTTGATCTTTATTAATCTGCTTGTTTTGAGTTTGATTCACATTCACTCGTATGGTACTCAGCTCTGACTGTCACGGCTCGTCTCTCTCTACTGTACTGCAGTACCCTCCAACGGTATTGTCGCTGCTCCCCGGCTGTATTCTCCCCGACTGTCCTCTACTCCAGTCTAGTTGAGTTCTCTGCTAATACCTACAAACGAACCCCTTTTATTAATCCCCGAATTAGTTGCGGCATCTACAGAGATTCCTTGGCAGGACAGTTTATTTCTATATCTGTGCAACGATCTGTTTCTCCAACCTGGTCCTATGCTATGATTGACTTCACGCTTCCCTCCCACTCAATGGACATTCCTCATTAACGAGCCACACGCCCTTGCATTCCAATGCCTTGATTTTTAACTACTGTCACCGTCGTGCTAGCCTCGTCCCTTTGCAATCTGAGTGGATTTCCTTACACAACTTTTACTTGTATTTTAGTTTCAAACTAGCCCCCCCCCCCCCCCCCCGATTCTTTGTCGCGAGGCCTCTAGGCACATGTCACATTAGCTTTCGGGTTAATACGGCGCTGTAGGGCAAACACTTAAATTAATATTTCATTATAATTAGTCATGTGTGATAACAGTAACAATGTCTCGTTCATTTGGTAATGTTTCCATTCATTCAATCGAACCTGAGACATAGATGATCTGAAGTAAATTTTAATCAACTTTAATTTTGAGAAAGTTCTTTCTGTACTATCCTACCGTTACCAACATTATTGTGTACGCGATCGCAACTTTCGGAAAAGAATCTGCCAGTGGCACAGGGAATTAAAGACACTACTGAAATGCTGTTTGTACTTCTCTTGAAATAATTTCCTAGGACCTTCAGTTTTAATTCACACAGTGTTTGATTCAATGATCACGTGTCGTGGTACGGGGTTGGCGATTATCATGTAGAAATCCAAAAATGTCAACGTACTGGTACCGTTGCCGTTGCTATAGAAACGTATTTTCGGGGATCCCACCGCTTGGTCTACTAGTACCGATACTCTAAAAGAAATATTTTATCCTGAAAGATTTTTAAGGTGTTATAAATATGTTATTGCGGTGTTATTTAAGCATGTTTGTGTCTGGTGCAATTTTTCTTTTTAAAGACTTCCTCTCTACTCACATTTCGATCTAGTTTTTTTTTTAAAAATTATTCTTTAGCCTACACAAGTGACATTATAAAATGTAGAAAAAGATAGAAATTAATTTAAATTTCTTACAAATGCAATAAGCAATGAAAGTCTCTGCTGAAATATTTTCAATTATTAATTTAAAAAATAAAACATTTAAATTTCGTTCACCTTCATTTCGAATCCTTTGGCTTCATAATTCATAGTAATCATTTCAGTGCTCATCTATGTATTTCTGCAGTCTTTTTTTTTTTTTTTTTTTTTTTTTTTTTTTTTTTTTTTTTTTTTTTTTAAATTTTTTTTTTTTTTTTTTTTTTTTTTTATTTTTTTTTTTTTGTGTTTTTTTTTTTATTTTTTTTTTTTTTTTTTTTTTTTTTTTTTTTTTTTTTTTTTTTTTTTTTTTTTTTTTTTTTTTTGCGTAATGCTTTTTTTTTTCAATAAAAATTATTTTCTACTCTTTAGTTTTAAAATTACCGGTATTTAGGATGTATTCTTTAATTTTTTTCATTAGTGGCCATGGCTGATGCAAATCCTTCTTCTTAGCATTTGAAGAATCAGCGAATTAGACATCAGTAATGGCAGTTGCTACATCAAGTTGCTTACCGTACCTGTAATCGAAGGTAGAAAATAGAATACGTAATATCGGTACCCGGTGTAGAGTGATTTCCCCTGAAGATTTTTAAGTACCGTAGCTGTAGGCTACCTTTTCGGGAACCGATTTGATATCTTGTGGGTTCGAACATTATTTTGTGTGGAGATTACGAAATATGATTTGGCATTATCCAATAATATGGTAATCTGCACTGGGGCTTGCGTGGTCACTCGGTTCGCCACCCTCTAGCGCCGGCCCTGATATAACAGATACAAAATAAATTTGAAAAAAATTCGGTTCTGGTGAAACCAAGCACTACTCAATGATAATACTCAAGTCAATGGAATCATTTACGATCTTTTACTCAGAATTAGAATACTTAACGAGCGAAAATAATTTGTTATCTTTGTAATACGTTAAGCCCAAAATTAGTCTAGATTTTACAGAGACAGATAAGTTAATAAACTGAGCCAGTGGCGTAGCCAGGGGGTGCGGACCGCACCGGGTGACACCCAATTGAAAAAATTTGCAAATTTACCTTACGGAGCACACACTGCTCAGTCTAACCGAGATTCATAAAAAGTTTAACGATCACCCATACATTTTTCACAATTGTAACCAAACCAAATACGTGCTTTATTAAAGGTTCAAGGTTGATGAGTCAAAAATGAGATAACCCTATGTTTTAGGTCAGAGAAACACAGCCATTTTATTCCACACCGATTGATGTGTTTCAATTGTTATTGGTAACTTCCGTAAGTGACAGTTCAGGAGGCTACATTTAATCTAACGATGTGGCTATTCCCACCCGACTACCAGAAGTGAGAGGTTGGGATTATAAAACTATTTAAGATATTATGGTTGGGTTTATAAGACAAAATGAGGTATCAAATGAAAGATAATTGAATGGACTATATGTTTGTAAACTTACTTCTTCAATTTAAAATTTTTAAAGAAATTTGTAGGTCACATTGCTATAATAATAATAATATGAGTTATTAAAGGCTTTTTATGGACAATTATTGCAAAACATATAATAAAGTGCATAATTATATGCACACATTCTGCACAGATCATTCTCCCATTCCTAAAATCTCCTATAACAAATCAATTACCTCATCATGTGAATCCAGATAGATGAAAAACTGATTGAATAAATTAAATGGAGTTTAAAAAACTAAAACTAGTTGCATTTTTTTAAAATTAATTTTATTGAACAGTAGAAATTACATTAATTAAAAGTCAGGGGAAATTTTAAGAATATAAAATATAATCAATACTCGGTACCCTGAATGTGCCCAACACCCAAAAGAGGAGAGCATTTATAACCTGTCAGTTTATTGAATTTTTTCAGGATATCAAGTTCTTTATTATACATAATGGTCCACTGTTCAGGAGTTTCATGATCAAATCCAACTACATGAAAAAGGCCATGTGCAACCATTGTCTGGAGAGAAAAAAAGATTTCTTTGTAAAAGCAGCATTTAGAGAACTATGATTGAGGCAGTGATCCGACTATGAATAACACTGCCGGGATATGTAAGGAAAAAACATAAAAACAGACACCAAAATAACAACTAAGGTGTTAGCAAAAAGCCTTATTCAGTGAACAAATAGATAAATAGAAACTAGAAAACTGAAAATACTTTATTTTTTAAAAATAATTTTTCAGGCAAATGAAGAGTGATAAATAATAAATATTTTAATAAATATTTTAGTTTAGGTTCTACTTCTACTAACAACTAATACCGGTAATTACATTTTAGTTTAGATTCTAATTCTGGTACAGGTACTTTGTGAGTTTTAGCATTAAAATTGATATCTCATTTTGAGTGACTTGAGACTTCTTTCATTTGGTTATTAAAATTAATTTGTTATTGTCCAGATCACACACATATTACCAGCATCACACTGTTAAAATCATCTCCATGTTTCATGGCGTCACTGAGTATGTATGGAACACCCAAGACTATATCTCCAAGCATCTTTTCATCATCATTTACTTCTGGAACACTTCCTGCCAGATGTTCTGGGATCTTTTAAATATGTTAAAAATTATTAAAAACTAGAATACATGACCTGATATTACAAGTACAGGGATAATAATAATAGCAGACATTTTGTGGTGTTCTCTATGTAATGATATTAACGTTTCTCACATCATTTAGTTTGAGAAATATTTATCTGCTATATAAATATAATATCTGCCTATCACCATCCTTTCTTTGTGCCCATGAACTACATTTTTTTCCCCTCTAAACATTGTAAAACATGACCTAAAATATTCACAAAAAATATTTACCATTTTAAATATATTATATTATCAAGGAATTTGATATATTTTCTTTATGCATAAAGTAGGAATTAAAATAATGAGTATAGTTTTTATAAAAATAACTAAAAAAAAATGTTTAATTTTAATCTTTCTTTTGAGAAGTCATGTTGCAGCCCCTGAATTCGATGAGTTTTTTTTTTGCTGACCGAGTCAAAAAGGTGAACTGCAATGACTTAGTGATTATATTAATAAAGCATATATTACATCTCACTCACTTTGTATATTATCTCTCTCTTTATAATATACATAACCTATTTAGTAACAGTATAAGCAAGTAATAACTATATTTTAATATTGTACCAGTAGTAAATTTTTTGTAATTTTACATTTGTATTTGTAGTTACCAAAATATATCAATCAGACATTATGTTAAATTTTTCCTCCCTGGATTTTTAAAACTTTCCCAAACGTTGGCGCCATTCGACTAGACATCTATGCTGCTGTCAGGAAAACTTAGCAAAAAATGTAAGTAATGGAGAAAATTTTTGCAGACCTATTAACTACTATTGTAATTATTTTCCACGCCCAAGGTAATTTTTTTCTTGCAGAGCTCCCCATATTGCAAAGTTGACTGGGTTTAAATCTGGACTGTTTGGTGGCCACATGACTCGTTTATATAAGGACAATAAGATGCCAATCTCCTGATGCAAAAAATAACAGTCTTCTGGCTGTGTAGGATGGTGCTCTGTTCTGTACTGTTAAAAAAAATTACACAATCCACGACACTCAATTAAAGGTGGCACCTGTGTAAACAAATAAGTAGTGCACAAACATGTCTGCTAAAACAGGAAAGGAGGTGGGGGGGGAAGTGGGTTGATGTAGTGCTTTAAGTACTCACCAAGAGATATTAAAATCAGGAATGTCATGAGAATAGGTACCCGTATTTAAAAATGATACTGTTAAAAACTAGTAAAAAACATACAAATTTAATGAATTTTTAAATAAAAATTAAAATTAAATTATTCTTAGTAACAATCTACGAATTAAAAAAGGGGAGAAAATCCTACATATACAGGAGCTCAGTGTGGTGTGGATTGCGTAAACTGAACCTTTTTCGATGCCTGCCTGCTATATTTTAACTATAGTCCTTTGAATTTTATCTACGCTGTTTTTCTCTAACCTGAAAATATGACATAGGCTGCCTATTATACAATTAGGCCAGGCCTATTAAAATTAAGCATAACAAATTAACCTTTTAATTACCGCTGACGTCAACGTGACAACACGAACACCCACTTTCATTTACCAAGGAGTCACATTGTTGTCATAACAAAGAGACAAAGAACTTTTCTGAAATACCAAGGACGACACATCGAAGTCATATTTCAATGCTACTATATTGTCTATATATTGCTTTATTTGTTAATTTATAGAGAAGTTAATAAACGAGTCAGATAGACTTAGAGAATGAACAAAATACTGGAAGTGGAAGTTTCATCTTTAAGTTTAAGTTTAAGATTAAGGTGTTTAAATTTTAATTGCTGAGTCTGCAAAAATCGATGCCACAACCAGCTGTAATGAAAGAGATAATTAAAATTAAAGAAATTTATATAAATTATATTTAAATCATTTAATTTAAATTAAATGAATCAAATTATACATTTTTAATTAATTTATTTAAAAATCTCACTTCGTGAAAAGGAAATGCTAAGACATCTGTCACCTCATTATGGTTCCTGTATGTTTGATTTAGTGTTTTTATTTCCTCATTAGATACTAAAAGTACGCCTAACTCAAATTCGTCATAACCAGAAATTCTTTTCAAGTGAACTATGTCCATATGAAATTGCTTCACACGTATTCCAACAACACGTTGTAAATTCCTCACTATTACTGACATTATTATTTATAATGTTAAAATAAGACTACCGTATTCTAAAAAATTAATATTGATACAAATTGAAATATTTGTTTTGTTTGATCAAAAACCACAGATAACCAGATCTAGAATGTCTGGATTCCGTCATCGTTATCTGTTTTCCCAGTGACTAGTAGAGGTAGTAATTCAGATTCACAGCAAAATTTGTAAAGGAAGTTAACACTTAAACTTACGGCTGCATCTATAGGTACCCGGGTACCTATCATCGCCAATGACAATTCGCACCCGGAGTGGCTCCGTACATATTAAATGGCTTCGAAGCCGAATGTGATAACAATAATAGTATGAGAATGATTTTTTGAAATTGTTTTTTCTCCTTGTTTATTTGATTGATTCATAGTTTTATTATTTTTAGTTGTTTTTTTTTATTTTTGCTTTTAAATCGAGTAATGAAGATGATTTAGATACATTTATTTTTTTTATTTGAATTTTAGAAAAGTAATAATATTAATTTAATTATTAAAATTAAATCCTTTATTTAAGATTATTTATGTGTATTGTTAAGTTAAAAGATTTAATCACACAGTACTTTATGAATTAATTAGGTATTCTTAATAATGAANGTGGACAATTGTTGGGGCAGCTATCTTTTTCTTTTCAGGGTAAAATTTTGCTTTACCTTCGGTCGCCCCTTTGGTCGCACTCTCTCAAAGTTAACCTTTCCAAAGGAATTAATACTATTTTCAGTTTCAATTTTTTCGAAATTATTTGCAGCAACTGTTTCCTCGTGGGAAAAATGAATGTCATTTATATCAACAAAATCAATTAGTTGACTTTGAATGAAACTTGTTTGTGGTTCACCTTCATCAAGTTGTGACCCCGATTCATTTTCATCTAAATTTTCAGGACTTTTCCAGAGACTTATAGTAGTTTCAAGAAAGGATATTTTCTCTACAAAATCTTGTTCTCCTTGCATCGCCAAAAAATTTGCCAAGCCCATACAAATTCTTCTAGCATGATTAAACCGACCCTCTTGAGTCTTAAAATTATTGTTTCTAGTAGATACAATTTGAGAAGTTACTGAACCACTAGACGTTGAAGCAACCACTCTAGGAACACTATGTTTGTTAAAACGGCATGGAATTAACTCTGAACAAAATTCTGGAAGCTGTAAATGTCTTCGAACTGAAAAAATATGTCTGCAAGGTAATGCCATCTTTTTAGCAAATGAACAATTACATTGAACTGATTTTGAGCTAAAAATACGTTCCTTATAAGCTACTGAAAAAAGTTCTGCCTCTCCAGGGACAACAGAGTACGGAACAGATCGTGACAATTTGAGCTGATTGAGCAATAGAGCAGCAGCAAAGGAAGTAGCAACACTTTCAATCTTATTTACACTTTCATCATTATCAGATGACGTATACTGAGCTGTGTTTGCAGCAAGCAATCTTAAACGATCACATACTGTAATTTTGCAGTTGTCAAAAGACATAAGGTTACGAAGAGCTGATGAAAAAGAAAGATAATGAGTCAAACTCTTTTTTATTTTGGCATGATAAGACTCCAAGTGATTTGTTGTTGTCGCATGGAGTCTTAAAACATCAGCATTGGATGATGCTGCCCATAAATGGGCCTTACTCCACCAGTTCGGCTCAAAATACTCCAAAGCTACATCAGGAAGAGTATCTTTCATGTCTTGCATTAACTTTAAAAATTCATCACACGACTCAGTATAAACTTGAGACATAAATCCTTCAAGAATTGGCTTAACATGCTCAGGACCTACATGTTTCGAAAGAAACCTGTGCACAGCCTGGTTAATGTGAAAATGACATAGATTAACAGGTACATTTGGAAAGAGATCATTTATAGCAGAGATTTCAGCCATGTCTTTGTCATGATCACATACTGTAATTTTGCAGTTGTCAAAAGACATAAGGTTACGAAGAGCTGATGAAAAAGAAAGATAATGAGTCAAACTCTTTTTTATTTTGGCATGATAAGACTCCAAGTGATTTGTTGTTGTCGCATGGAGTCTTAAAACATCAGCATTGGATGATGCTGCCCATAAATGGGCCTTACTCCACCAGTTTGACTCAAAATACTCCAAAGCTACATCAGGAAGAGTATCTTTCATGTCTTGCATTAACTTTAAAAATTCATCACACGACTCAGTATAAACTTGAGACATAAATCCTTCAAGAATTGGCTTAACATGCTCAGGACCTACATGTTTCGAAAGAAACCTGTGCACAGCCTGGTTAATGTGAAAATGACATAGATTAACAGGTACATTTGGAAACAGATCATTTATAGCAGAGATTTCAGCCATGTCTTTGTCAACCACAAAGCACTTGAAAAGACTGGCATCAGAATTCTTCAGAAGAAGCTGCAAACAAAGAGAAATAGATTCCTTATCTTCATTTTTTACAAAACCATGAAGAACAGGAATGCCCCTGCCCTCTCCATCAATAACCATGACAGTCAAAAGTGGATATAAATATTTATTGGTTTTATATGTGAAATCCATTAATAAAACCTCTGGATATTGGGCAATAATTCTTATCATATCATCAGTCATGTATGATAAATACTTAAATTCCCCACTTTCTGTTAGTCCATAGGACACACTTCCACCAGCTTGTGATATAGAATGAAGTATAGATTGAGTTTCAGTTGCATCAGAAGATGATTTATTTATTCTTGACTTAATATTGTAAATGTCCCTGGGAAGCAAATCCACATCATGCTGTTGTTCAAGCACTTGCCGGGCCTCAGATGCCTGAATCGTGGTGCAGGACATCAACAGAAGCGTTGCCGCATTTAGTTCCACCTTGCGGTTTTCCGGATACAAGCGGCACATCTGGAAAAAAAAATACACAAAGGTTACTTTGCAATAATAAGTATTATGTAAAAAAATATGCTCTGCAAACATTATTATTATT